CAAACGACTGTGAGCTGATGAATGCAAATCAAATGTCACCGACAAATCGTTAACGCGTTTGTTATGCTTAGCCCAGTCTGAATCCATCACACGTGTGTATGGTATTGGGTAGCTCACATTTCCCGCTGCTTAGCGCATCATCCATCAAAACCAACCATTGGCTATTCAATCGCCATGATAGTGTCAGGCGAAACAAACATACTATTCTGGATAAAATGGGAAAACAGAAAGCAACGTTTTCATCTCTCGTACGTCATGTCCGATAAGAATAAATAATAATCCCCTCATATATTATTTTGTGTATTTTTTCATTTTGGTGAAAGTTCGCTCGTTCTTTGGCTCAGTCAGCAGTTTTTTTCGTTTGTAGAGACGTATTGACCGGGCAATGTGATAATGGACGAGTCATTTCTATGTGAAGAGATTCTTACGGTGCAATCCGGACCGTTGGCTAATCGAGTTGGTCTGCATTTTTGGAATTATGAAGCCTACTTCCCGGGCTACGATCACTGCTCACGTGTCGATTCGGATTGTCCGAATCAAACACATCAACGCGTGTTGTGTGACTTGCGTGCCAATCTGACCATTCCGCGCACATTAGCCCTAGATCTCGCCAGTTCCATCGACTATGGGTTCCATTTTGAGGATCCCGCATCTGGCGCATCAGATGCCGCCCACATCTGGGATGGCCCTGTGCATTCCGTTTTCCGTTCCAATTTTCCCGCTCCTTTGTCCCAATGCGAAAAAGATTTTACCCAATGGACCACATGTTTCANNNNTCAATCCTCTGATTCGTCGTATTTGGCGCGAAAACGATATGATTTGCACATTACCCAACACGGCTTATTCACAGACATCAACTACAGATACTGAGGACAAGATGTCAAGTCTCTCATTTGCACAGGTAAGTGTTTAACTTTGATTAGATCGATTAACACTGCGATATAATGTGCACATTTACCGTTATCATGGTATTAACCCGCTCCCCACCCCCCACCCGGAACTCCAATCCCTTTGAAGGCATGGCACCGCCATTCTGCTGTTTTCTTTCACTAAAAATCCACTTTCACAATCTTGGTATTTTTCTTTTGATAAAAATGTGCCCCAAAGTTCGAAATGGAAATCTTAAATGTACCGCCAATATTTTTTCCAAGTCCATGGTATGTCAAAGCTGGCTGTCATCATGATACAGCGAAATACACTGAACAGAATTTTGCTGACTACTAAGTACTACGTGAATAACAGGAGTGTTTGAAATAGGCAATGATTTCTCCTGACCTGTGATCTTTGCAAATCCAAGTACAACCTGCTGGACAGCGAGATTATTCCAGACGAGTTGATTTTCTACTATACGGTTCATTCATTTCTTCCAGAAAACTATATGGGATCGATGGAACTGTGACCCTACATAGTAGCTGACCACAATCGCCATTTCACAATGCGGTCCACAGGCTTATGCGGTGTTGTGTAGTGTGAGAGTACTGGCCAAACGAAACCCCACCGCCTCCTGGACCACTGTCATCGTCCGTTACATGATGAACCTGGGCCCACATTATTCACGCTTAACCACCAGCTTAATTGTTGACGCCTTTTACACTGCATCCGTCATTAGCTACACAACTGTCTAGCTAGGAACGGAAACTGATCGTGGTCGATACCCGATGATTGAGCTTCATTACAGGGGTAGTTGACATCCTCAAAAGCCCTCAGTATGGCCCGGGGTGTAAACTCTGTACTGTGACTTTTCATTCCTCACTTGTCCCTCGCGAATGCTCCCATACGACCAAACGTCTCAAGCGAGATCAGAATAATAAGCACGAAGTGAGCTGCTGCTAAGACATCCCAACCTTTATTTACCTGTCCGATTATACCATCACTATACAATATAAGAAAAACACAGTACAGAACAAACTCGTTTGCAGTGATTCTTCCACAGCCTAATCCATCGCAGTTTATGTTAAAATGGGGAAAGAAATAATCTACATTCCAGTTTCTTGACCAAATGTTACACCTTAGTCATCGCATATACACATTGGTTCGGGTCATTGGGAGCTGGTGTGTGTGGGGGGGCGATGACTGTGTCATGTGTTGTGTTAGAAGACCAAATGCTCTTAAGGATTGTTTTGGGGAGCATGGTTGGCGGTGGAGTACGTAGACGGATTCCGATTGCTTCCGCTGTGGTGAGAATGCAACTCCTAATCTCCTTAGATGGACAACTGAGAACTGAGTAGATGAGTCGAAACTACTCGGTCACCTAAACCACGTGATTTGAATACCACTCCAGGTGTGAAACGATCGAACCGTTGATAGTCCCCACTATTCAGCCAGGTCAGGTTTTGCTGACGACCTCGTTCAGTTAGATGTCTTCTCATGCGGCCAATTTACCTTGTCCCATAGGAACAGGTAAATAGGTACATACTTAAGAAGATTGTAGGAACACGCGATTTATTGTTCAGTTGAAAGCACAAAAGTGGCGTGGAGATAAATACAATGCGAAGTTCTGCTGCGAGGAATTTTTTTTTCATAACTGTACTCAGTTTACTTGTTAACATCTCAGCAGTTATGTTTCCCCTAAAAGGTAGTGATATGCAAACCAGTTTCTTCTCAACGGTAGTGATCTCATTCGGTAACCGGTGACGCCTTCAATTGTTACCCATGAATCGTTCTGGGTATCTGTTACGAAGGAAAACTGTAATGCGAACGTACTCCGGGCTCTCGCAGCGCAGCGGAGTGGACAGAGGTGTGCGACAAGATGTCCCTCAGCTCGTATTCTTGCATAGGGAAACGATACGAGGCTTCGCTGGCGACGGACGACGGCGAGGGAACTGCGGTAGAGTAGCGAGGGAACACTAATAGACAGGCCTGTTCCATGGGTTGGGGTTAATGATAAACCTGCAAGGCAAAGCAAATGAAACACCGTAAACCGAGCACGCATTGTAAAATATAACTGGCGCGTTTTCCAAGCGTTACAAGACCTNCTCTCAATGGTATCGTCTGTACATATTTTCAGCTGCCGCGGTAACATATGGGACTCCATCAGAGCTAGAATTACGAAGCTGCATTCAATCAAGCGAATTGACGGGCTTTACTCCCATTCCGTTTAAGCTCGCGGTGGCTGGATTACTAGTTTACTCCGCAGCATTTGATCTGAAGAGCGCATTCCTTCATCCCAAGGTGGATCGATAATCTCTCCGATCTTCAAGAAGAGATCAGGCAATGAATGAGCAAACCGCTATGGGTTAAGTTTAGTCCCGATCATCACAAATGTGTTGACTTCTGTGATACTTCGCCGCCTAACACTGATGAATATTCGAGAACAACAAGCAGGATTCCGATCAGATCGCGGTTACCTCAACCAAATCTGCACCCTGCGTCAAGCGCTCGAATTACGTCACACATTGTCGGTCAACCATCGCA